TGTTTTTCTTTTTTCTTTTTTTCTTCGTTTTCTTTTCATTTGGGGCTGGAGAGTGGCGTGTGAGTGAGGAGGTCTCGGGAAGCAGTAGCAGCTGCAGCAATACCAGAACGAGCCAGATGTGGCTCCACCTCAGCCCGGGGTCCCCTGCGAGCATGGATCAGGTCTTAGAATGGAGTCCCCCAGCCTGGACCCACAGTCTAGACCCTATGGAGTTCTTCTTCGTCTTCAGCTTCCAGGTGGTCTACCGGCTTGGTAGGCAGTCTCATCCAGGAGTGGTGGTGTTGGCTTGGCGTGATGGCTTTCTTTGGTGGAGACTTCCAGCCCGGTGTTCCAGCAGCCCAGCGTGACTGTCTCATCCTGGAATGACAGTCTCACCTAGAATGACAGTCTCATCCCGGCTGCGTTTTCAGGGTATTCCGTTGTTCCTTAATTGACTCTTCCCGAGCCCAAGAGCTTTTAGCTGAACTGTGATGAACTTTGTATTAACTTTACTTTTTCTCATTTTTATACATGACTTCTGTCATTGAAATAGGCACTGTGGTGGGGTGACTTATAAAATTTTTCACTGTATTTTTCATGTAAAAGTATATGTGACAATAAATTTCTGTTCAATGTTTTTCTATTCTATTTAATGAAGAGTGCAGAAGGGCATACCAGGAGCAGCACTGGGCATAACTAAAAATGAGTGTCAACATGGTAAAGCTATACAACAGGACTACTTGCATGCCAAACAGCACAAGCAGCAAGTGATAGACTGAACAAAAGAATCAGACAAACAATGGATCAGTTCTAAGCTCTGTAGCCCTGCGGCATCCAGTAGTGAATGATGAAGGATAATCAAACAACTTACTGGAGAAGGCTTCACAAGGTGGCATGGTGGCTTGGTGGTTAACACCGCTGCCTCACAGCGCCAGGAACCCAGGTTCGATTCCTCCTTTGGGCGACTGTCTGTGCAGAGTTTGCATGTTCTCCCCGTGTCTGTGTGGGTTTCCTCCGGGTACTCCGGTTTCCTCCCACAGTCCAAAGATGTGCAGGTTAGGTGGATTGGCCATGCTAAATTGCCCGTAGTGTTCAGGGATGTGTAGATTAAGGGGTTGGGTTTGGGTAGGATGCTCTGAGAGTCAGTGTGGACTCGTTGGGCCGAAGGGCCTGTTTCCACACTGTAGGGATTATACGATCTATGAAGTATCCCCATCTTCAATGATGAAAGATAAGGCTAAAGCATTTACAACAGTCTTCAGCCAGAAGTGTTGAATGGATGATCTATCTTGGCCTCCTCCAGATGTCCCCAGCATTAAAGAGGCCGGTCTTCAGCAAATTTGATTTACTCCATGTGATATCAAGAAACAGTTGGAGACACTGGACAGTGCAAAAGCAAGAGGCCCTGACAACATTCTGGCAATAGTACTGAAGACTCGCTCAAGAATGTGCTGCTCCGCTAGCCAAGCTCTTCCAGTACAAGTACAATGTTGGAATCTCCCTGACAATGTGGAAAATTGCCCAGGTATGACCTGTATATAAAATGCAAGTCAAATCCAACCCAGCCAATTATCTCCACATCAGTCTACTCTCGATTGTCAGTAAAGTGATGAAAGGTGCCATCAATATTGCTAACAAGCAGCACCTGCTTAGCAATAACTTGGTCAGTGGTGCTGAGTTTGGGTTCTGCCAGGTCCACTCAACTCCTCACCTCATTACAGCCTCGATTCAAACATGGACAAAAGAGCTGAATTCCAGAGGTGAGGTGAGCGTGACAGTGCTTGAAATCAAAGCTGCATTCGACTGAGTGTGGCATCAAGGAGCCCTAGCAAAACTGCAATCAATAAGTATCGGGGGCAGATTCTTTATTGATTGGAGTCTCACCTGGCACATTGGAAAATGGTTGTGGATGTTGGATGTCAGTCATCTCAGCTCCAGGACATCGCTGCAGGAGTTCCTCAGGGCAGTGTCCTACGCCCAACAATCCTCAGCTGCTTCATCAATGATGTTTCCTCCATCATAAGGACAGAGTAGGGATGTATGCCAATGATTGCATGATGTTCAGTACCATTCACAGCTCCTCAGATATTGAAGCAGTCCATATCCAAGTACAACAAGATCCAGGCTTGGACTAAAAGTGGCAAGAAACATTCACTTCACACAAATGCCAGGCAATGACCATCTCCAGTATGAGATAATCTAACCACTGTCCCTTGGCATTTAATGGCAATGCCATCACTGAATTCTCCACTATCAACATCCTGGGGGTTACTTTCGGCCAAAAACTCAACTGAATTCACCATATACTGTATGGTTAGAGGCTAGGAGTACTGCAGCAAGTGACTTACCTCATGAATTCCCAAAGCCTGTCCACAATCTACAAGGCACAAGTCAGGAGTGTGATGGAATTACCTGCATGAGTGCAGCTCAGCAGCACTCAAGAATCTTGACACCATCCGGGACAAAGTGACCTGCTTGATTAGCACCACATCACAAATAACCACTGACGCTCAGTAGTAGCAGTGTGTATTATCTACAAGATGCACTGCAGAAATTCAAAGATCGTGGACAGAGCCTTCCAAGCTCACAACCACTTCCATCTAGAAGGACAAAGGCAGCAAATACATGAAAAGACAACCACCTGTAAGTTCCCCTCCAAGCTGCTAATCATCCTGACTTGGAAATATATTGGTGTTCATTCACTGCTGCTGGGTCGAAATCCTGTAATTCCCTCCCTAACAACATTGTGATTCTACCTACAGCACATGGACTGCAGTGATTAAAGAAGGCAGCTCGCCACTACCTTCTCAAGGACAACTAGGAACAGGCAATAAATGCTAACCAGCCAGCAACACTTAGATCCCATAACTGTATTCAGAAAAAGTATTTCCATTTCAATAATCATATGAAAAGGTAAAGCAGAATTTGCAAGATTAATTCAAACTTCAATGTAATGCTTTGGAAGTTTTACAATGCAATGATTTTGGTGATTTGGCAATGCTTTAGAGGTTTGACTATTTGGGATCTGGTAATTGTATACCTATTTGGAGAGTTATGTGTCACTTTCTGTTGCACTTGTCTGATAACTTGATTGGCTTTCTGCTGGTACCAGCATTCATCATCCCACACAATCATCATCAGCGTTTTCTTCCTCATTCTCTTCATGCACAACTGGTAGTATTGTGTGCTAGTCTGAACTGGCTTTTATTCCTTAATATTGCATCATGATAATTAATGACTTTGTATGACCTGGGCTGGTTGCATATTCTGTAAAGCTTTGCTCGTATCCAAGTATTTGTATTTGCCCAGTGCACAGTTGTAGTAGTTGTCTACCTGCTTGCTTGTCATGTATCTTCTTTATTCTCCTTTGCCTTTGCAGCAGAATATCTCTAAGTGCTTTGGAAAGTTTTCCTTTAGAAAATTTACATTCATGCATTTGCTGCATCATCTTTCAACAAATGGGTCACGAGACTCTTGGGGTGGCTGCCTGCATGACAAAAGTTGGAGGCTGTCCATTTCAATATTAATTCTCACCGTGAGCAGGTCTTTCAGTAATTTTGGATTCATTTCTGGATCTTTCTATTCATCTATGGAAAGATTGAACAGATTAGTTCTGTGCAAACCTTGCTGATGGTAAGAAAGATGTTCAGAGCTCTCTTCTGGGGATCATCCATCAGTTGATCTGTAAAATAAAACTGCAGATATTGCTTGAACAGTGGCAATTTGGAAAAGTTATCATTGGCTACCCAGTCCATAATTAAATGGTTTTCCTCCATTTCTCTTTGGAAGTGTTTGCTTTTTCTTAAGAAGTAGAGTACAGTAAATTGTTTGTTTATTTCTTTCACTGGTTTTGCTTTTTTCTCCTTTTATCTTCCATTTTCACCAACTTTCTGGCCTTAGTCCTTTTAATAATGTTGAATTAATGTTGGACTATAGCTTTGAGTTCAAAAAATGCAAGCTTGTAGTTTTAGATTTTAGCCTCTAGGTGTTCACAACAATTAAGGAAAGGTGGCAGCCTGATGGCTTGCCTCTATTTGGCACTCATTTGAAGATGAAATGGTCAATTCAAGTAACCTTTCAATGGTCAATTCAACTCATCTTTGGATCCAGGTAAACCTTTTTAGTGTAGTTTCTTTTTGGCTATATTTTGTTTCAGATAGGTTTTGTATCTGTGAGGGCAACGAATTGTCCTTTTTGTAAAAGATCAGAGCAGTTGGCTATTAATTCATTTTTTTTAAGTGAGAGAGATACAGAAACAGAATATTCACTATCTTAGACAACAAGGTGCAGAGCTGGATGAACACAGCAGGCCAAGCAGCATCATAGGAGCAAAAAGGCTGATGTTTCGGGCCTAGACCCTTCACTATCTTAGCTCAGGCCCTTAACCTTTAACTTTGCTTGTATTTGCAGTTTCACTGTTGGACATTTCCCACCATTTGATAGAGTTTTGATTTTAATCAGAAAGAAGTTAGTCTGCCTTTTGCTTTCGCTATCATAGTATTCACAGTAACTAATACTGCTGATTGCTTGAATTCTTTGATGTCCAAGGCTGTTGTCAAGTTGATCTTTAATCCAGTTTCCAAATATCTTGGAGTCGTTCCTTTATTGACGCATGCAACGGTGGACCTTGATGTGCCTTTTGCCTCTTGTAGAAAATTTTAGCTGACACGGCATTGTTATTGTTATCCATTGCAACATAAAAAGTAGACATGGGTAATGTGGTATTTAAAGGTTCAGCAAATGTCTATTGTGGCTCACTAACATATGCACAGGCACTTCAGTGTCTGGGCTGACATGTTCTGTGGTTGTGAAGAGTAGCATGGTGTCATCACTGTGTTATCAATCAAGTGACACCAATTAAGCTGAAGTCTCAAGCTTTTACAGTCTCAGGAGCTATTCTATGACACAGTGATGATATAATGAACATGTCTCTTATAGTGATGTGATGTGTTTCTTCACGATACAGTAATTGTGATGCATAACACAACAATAGTTAGCATTAAATAATGGAAATAACTCACCTATCTGACAACATTCCAGAAACAAATGAACCAACCAGGACTCCCAGGAAGTATATTGACATAGAAAATGGCATTTTCCAGTCATTGTTACACACCAAATCCCACTGAAATACAAAGAGAAATTAAAAGCTCCAAACATATGTACTTGAGCAAAATTACAGGTAAGCAATTTTACTACACTTGGTTGGAGAATGTTCAATCTAAATCATCAGAATGAACGGAAATAGGCTCTAGAATAGACCATGCATCTCAGTAAATCTATAATGATAACAGCCTAAACTCAAAGGCAACAATTTACAGCTCAAAGTCAGGAGGCTGAGAAAGTTACAATTGTTGAAGCTCTGCGATTTATTTTCTGGACGGGTGATGAATTATTCCAGCATTTCCAATGTAAGACCATTATAATAGTTCAGTGACCATGAGATTCTGTTTTCCAAAAATACTGCACCCCACAATTAATAAGTTCCACTGTTGGAAATGTGAAAGACGTTGCATACAGGTTGTTTATTTGTTCATATGCTGATGGTGGAATCTAGAGCACTGGCTGTAAGATGAATATAACTTTCTGAGGTTTTTGTTTGAATAGTGTGGGCATAAATCTCTAAATTTTGGCACAAGTACCCATGTTAGTGAGAAGGATTTATGGGTTGACAGGGCAGGGTGTGCTTTCATTATTCCTGGTGTCTAGCTTCATGCCAGGAGGTCCATCCTGTTGTGTTCTTATTTGAGTTTTATATATTGGTTTGATACAACTCAACAGTTTGTGAGGCCTTTTTTTTAGAGAATCAAGAGTAAACCACAATACTGTGAATCTGCAGTTATCTATAGGTTGGACAAAGTAACACAGCAGGTTAATCTTACAAAAGGCTTTCAGTGAAGCACTCAATTGTTCCATTCATTTGAGCATTTCTGAAAGGGCCAGAATCCTTATTGCTCTTCGGAAAGTGCTGGGGCACTGGCTTCTTGAATTGCTGCAGTTTTTGTATGCATGCACAGTGCTATTAGGGAGGGAGTTCCATAGCTCTGACCCAGCCTCAGCGAAGTAACAGTGTTTTGGTTCAAAGTTTGGGTGGTGTGTAGTAGAAGAGGTTTTTGGGGTATCCATGAATGTGTCGTTGTTCTTCTTAATATAATGGTTGTGGATTTGGAAGGTACTGTTGAAGATGCTTGGTGAGTTTCAGGGGTTCATCTTGCAGGTCGCATGCATGCTGACACTGTGCCCTGGCAAAGGGTGTTAATGGTGGTACTGATTAAGTGGTCCACTCTGTCATGGATAGCATTCAATGTCTTCAGTGTTATTGGAGTTGCACTCATTCAGGCAAATGGAGAATATTACTACACTCCTTAAATGTACTTTGTAGGCGGTGGTCAATCTTTGGGGAACCATGAGGTGAGTTACTTAGTTCAGAGTTTCTTGTCTGTAACTGGTTCTTGTAGCCACAGTCGTGATATGGCTGACTTAATTAATTCTGGTCAATAATGGATCCCTGTAGTGATGATATGGGGTTCAATGATGGCAACGTTTTTGAATGTGGAAGCACGGACTGTTTCAGTACCTCAGGTTTTGGCAATGAGACAGCAATGCAGAGCGAATGTCCCTACCTCTGAATTGGGAGGCCTGGGTTCAAGTCTCGCCTGCCCTCGAGGTGTGTAATAACATCTGATTTGAAAATATATATCTTAAGAATCCCCTATAGCTGTATAATTATCTAAGTCATTAATGTAGTTTAGAAAGAGCAGAGCTGATTTACAGGTTGCTCTGTGAGTGAATATCTGCTAAACAGGCAATGTCCCATTTCTTTGTGCCCTCGGTTTTCAGTAAATTAACCCATCCTCAATCTAGGCTGATACATTACCCCAATCTCATAAATTCTATTTTGATAATAGCCTCTTGTGTGCACTTTATTAAATGCTTTCTAGGGTTTTCTTATTGATGATCCTCGTCACAGATCAGCCTGTTGTCTGAAACAATCTGTACTATTGCTCACTATGGGTAGGTTTGCCAACACCATTCTCTTTTAAGGTAGGGATTTGACATGACCCAACTTTTCTGGTGTGATACAGCAAAACCATGTGCTGGTACAACTAATCATGGCTCTTGTAGTTTATTACATGTTAGCAACTTTGTACAAGTAGGTCTTACTCCCATCAGATCCTAAGCTATTCTCTCTCACCAGGTCCCTATGATGGAATTATAATGTGTAGTGCTTAAAGCACCTCTCAGTATTAACCCTTGCAAACCTTACACCATTAAACAACCCAGACCTACCCCTTACTGAGGACGAACGGTCAGTCCTCAGTAAAGGGCTCACCTTTGTCCCCCTCCACCCACAGATCAATGAATACCGCTCACGCTTGGACATAGAGCAGTTTTTCCGCCGCCTCCGCCTCCACGCTTACTTCTTTAACCGTGAACGAAACCCTCCCTCTACTGACCCCTTCTCCCGCTTCCAACACACCCCCTCCTCCTGGACACCACCCCAAGGCCTCCTACCCTCCCTCGACCTCTTCATCTCCAACTGCCGTCGAGACATCAATCGCCTCAACCTCTCCACCCCTCTCACCCACTCCAACCTCTCCCCTGCAGAACGTGCAGCCCTCCGCTCCCTCCGCTCCAATCCCAACTTCACCATAAAACCCGCGGACAAGGGAGGCGCAGTTGTAGTATGGCGCACTGACCTCTACATCGCCGAGGCCAGACACCAACTCTCCGACACCTCCTCCTACCGCCCCCTTGATCATGACCCCACCCCTGAGCACCAAACCATCATCTCGCAAACCATCCACAACCTCATCACCTCAGGTGACCTCCCACCCACGGCCTCCAACCTCATCGTTCCCCAACATCGCACTGCCCGCTTCTATCTCCTTCCCAAAATCCACAAACCTGAATGCCCTGGTCGACCCATTGTCTCCGCCTGCTCCTGCCCCACCGAACTGATCTCCAACTATCTAGACTCCATTTTCTCCCCCTTGGTCCAGGAACACCCTACCTATGTCCGTGACACCACCCACGCCCTCCACCTCCTCCAGAACTTCCAATTCCCCGGTCCCCAACACCTCATCTTTACCATGGACGTCCAGTCCCTCTACACCTGCATTCCCCATGCAGATGGCCTTAAGGCCCTCCGCTTCTTCCTGTCCCGCAGGCCCGACCAGTCCCCCTCCACTGATACCCTCATCCGCTTAGCCGAACTCGTCCTCACACTCAACAACTTCTCTTTCAATTCCTCCCACTTCCTACAGACAAAGGGGGTAGCCATGGGTACCCGCATGGGCCCAAGCTACGCCTGCCTCTTTGTAGGTTACGTGGAACAATCCCTCTTCCGTACCTACACCGGCCCTAAACCCCACCTCTTCCTCCGTTACATTGATGACTGTATCAGCGCCGCCTCGTGCTCCCACGAGGAGCTCGAACAGTTCATCCACTTCACTAACACCTTCCACCCCAACCTGAAGTTTACCTGGACCATCTCTAACACCTCTCTCCCCTTCCTGGACCTCTCTGTCTCCATATCGGGCAACCACCT